AGGTAAGATTTACCTATCATAAACTGGACTCCTCATATTTTGGGGCAGCTTCAGTCAAAATAGCTCCCTACTTCTAATGAATTCCCTTTTTGGGTTTATCCCACTGTATCTGGAATTTAGCCATCATTCCTGAACTGTACATGTGTTCATCATTAGGATCATCAATCCCGCTTAAGGTCACCGTTTCCCACTGCGATAACTAAGATACATATGTATACTTTTCCTTGGCGCCAAACTCTTCCCCAAATTCACACTTGGGTCTGGAAAATATAAAAATCAATACTCTGGCAATTAGGCGCCCAACTCTTCCCTCGGTTCGTCACTTGCTGTCCGATTTTGTGATTTATTAGTGAGCCAGAAAAAGAATACTTGATGGTGAGTTAGGGACCTGCGTGGAAAAAGAAAATAAACAACAATAAATTGAGGGAAATTAAGCATACGATTGCGCTGCCTGTCAATATTTGCATTGACAATTGAGACGTTCGTTTGGAGGGGGGAAGCACTTAACACCTCCCGATTCCAAATCCCGATCAAATACTCCAATAGGAACGTGGCTTATTAAGTCGAACGGATTACCCACTGCTCTGGGTGGGTCTATGGGTGATGGGTAAAGGGGGAAAGGGCAGTTAGACACTTTCCACGGTGCACGATTCTGTTGTTCTGTTCGCAACCCTTTCACCTTAACCGTTCTATAAAAAATACACTTTAATAAATTATCACCAACTTTTTACCTACAATATTGTCACATAACTTTTAACATTTAAAATTTAAATTTGAAATGAAGGGGGTCACATGAAATTCTTTAAAATCGTTAATATTAAAGAAATTAATATACACTCGGCGTAACATGGATTCAGTACAAAATAAGGGGTTCCGTTCTTAAAATTCAAAATTGGCAGGAAAACAAATTATTTATTGTTCAAATTTGATCCGTTTTTATTAAAGTTTCATAAACTTGTTCAAAATTAGCCAAAAGTTATTATGTATTTGCCTTTAACAAATGCATAACATTCAAACCCTCAAAATTAAAAGTTGGTACTAAATTAAAAAAAGTTTCTTCAAATAATTAATTAACAGGTTTAACTTTATAGAAAATTAAGAATGTTAAAAAGTAAGGAGATCATATGTTTGTATTCATATCAAATTTGAAATGCATTTGGTGGCATTTTTAGTTTAAGCCAGTTTGTTTTAACATGTTTTCTTTTTTGGTGGCTCCTTATCAAAAAAATCAGTCATTATACCCGTTACTCGTAGAGTAAAAGGGTATACTAGATTCGTCGGAAAGTATGTAACAGGCATAAGGAAGCGTTTCCGACCCCATAAAGTATATATATTCTTGATCAGGATCACTAGCCGAGTCGATCTAGCCATGTCCGTCTGTCCGTCTGTCTGTCCGGATGAACGCTGAGATCTCGGAAACTATGGGAGCTAGGCTTTTGAAATTTGGCGTGCAGATTCCTGAGCTTCTTACGCAGCGCAAGTTTGTTTCAGTAGACTGCCACGCCCACTCTAACGCCCACAAACCGCCCAAAACTGTAACTCCTACAGTTTTGATGCTAGATAGAAAATTTTAACTGAAATGTATTGTTCTCATCAATACCTATCGATTGACCTAAAAAAAGTTTGCCACGCCCACTTAAACGCCCACAAACCGCGAAAACCTGTGACGCCCACAATTTGCATGCTAGATAAAAAATTTTAACTGAAATGTATTGGTGTCGTCAATACCTATCGATTGATCCAAAATAATTTTGCCACGCCCACTCTAACGCCCATAACGCTTAAATCTGTCTACCTCCGGTAGGTGGCGCATTTTAATTTCGCTTTGCTGCTTGCATATCTCCATTTCCCTTTGAGTAACGGGTATCTGATAGTCGAGGTACTCGACTATAGCGTTCTTCCTTGTTTTCGATTGCAATCCTGTAAGAACGAGGTTTCTAGCGTGTTAAAAGCGGAATGGGAGCAAATTTGTAACCGTGTAAGACCGAGTTCGTGCTAAAAGAGTCCGTGCTAAGCGAGGGCCAAGTGTATAGGTTTATCATAACTCTCAGATTTTTACGATTCTACGTACCGCAGTTCCACAGTTCAGCACAAGATCATCACGAAGCGACGTCGGCAGAGCAGCCAGCGCTCTCAGTCGGAACCGCAAAGAGAACGCACAAAAAGTACTTTCTTCTCTCTCCCTCTTTCTCCATGTCTTCGCTGGAAAAAAACGGGTGAGGGCAGAGGCCCAGCAATTAAAATAGCTAGAATTTGGTGCACCCTTGCATTTCGAATAGTGCGATAATTTTTCGTAAATGTAAACACAACCAACTAAATTATTTTGTGTTGGTTTTAAAATACTTGTTTTTCTTGTGTATTATTAAAAATATATTAGATTCCCAGGTAAGTCTCTCACATATCAATAATTTTTTCAACAGTGAAACTAATAACAAGCTAACATTAACAAAAAGAGAAATACAAGGTTCCCAAAAAAAAAGTGGCGGAATCAAATAGCAGTGAAAAATATTAGTCTTTGAAGTCAAAAACAACTAATGGTGCATATAAATAAACATATGAAATGAAAACTTGATAGTGACCAAAAATATGATGTGTTTGTTGTAACTAATATTCCTCTAATATTAGGTGGAATCGCTAAGGTGGAGCCCTTGGAGCCGCCGAAAAAGGCAATGCGGTTTATTAAAAACCTGGACTTTTCAAAGTGCTGTCTTTGCTGTTTAAAAAAGATCTTAAAAGTTGCTGAAAGGGTGCTAGCTCTTGAGCACTGATGAGTCCTAGGACATGCCTATGCTAATTTAAGCACCAATTTTCTTATAAGTTGAGCGTTCGGTGATGAATTTTTTGCAGTGTTTGAGTGCTCGATAAGCCCTGAATGGTACATGCACGGTGACATTTGACTTTTCCTAACATAGTCCGGTTAGGGGAACGATTTGGTTAACACTACGGATCTAAACTTTTTCCCTGTGTAGATAAACATCTAAAGCAGGTCACCTATTTGTATTTGGCTTTCAGATATCGAATGTCAGTTACGATGGGGCATTCTTCATCATCCTCAATTGCCGGCTCTCGATTTCCTGCCCGGTTGGCCGCTTCGGTGTCAAAACAAACTCGAAAACAGCCTGAGACAGAGTCTGATTCGGAATCAGTCAAACAAACAGCGTGGTCTAATAATATTTGTAGATCGTAGAATCGTGGACGCTGACACCTCAGTTGAGGAATGGGGAATACGTACGCATATAGAACTACATAGGAATGTCGCCATGTGCACGAGTGGGTCGGTGGCCGGGCTTATCAGTCGGGTAGTGGTGCAGTGTTGGCACCGACATTACCTGTTCACTTACCTGAGCTCCCCACAGTGGTACTTTAAGTAATAGCCCAAGGCACTCTCAAAGTTTGGTGGCCTTCTTTATACTTTGAAATTAGTTAAAAATAATATGTTGATGTTAAATAATACAAACAATATTATAACTTTCTTATAACATTTTTTAGTGTATATATTTATAATTAGTTTTAAATTAAAACTTTTAATCAAAAATTTGTGGTTCAAATCTAATTTCTGTATTAAAGTATTAAATGTTTCAATTCTATAATTTATACAGCTGTTGCACAGGTGTGCAGGCCAGCTTTTTGCCCTCTTATCAGTTCGTCATGTTCAATGAGTTTAGTTAAGTTTGCCGATAAGGCCGATTAAGTGCAATTTGTGCAGAGTTTTTTTGTTTAAAGAACATTTTTATGTCTTCCGTAGGTAAATATCAATAGATCGACTATAAGGCTTAGATAAGCATATGTATATAATTGCTCAGTTTTAATCGGTAATACGTTCATTATGTTTATAAAAGATTAAACTGCATATTTCAGAAACTATACAAGGCATTGCAGTTATTGAAATACCGTCAAATCAAAGGGGTTTGTAACTTGTGTTTCCGACCTTGATATACTTTTTAATTGCGGTGATCGTATAATTTTGTGTAATTTCTAACAATTAAAGTGATTTCAGCTCTTTCCACATCTGAAACCTTTTTATCGTGTAGAGTATTTAATTCTCATTATATTCAGTAAGAAAAAAAAATTTCACTTTTGCGCACATTCCCTAAAATTTGGCTTTTAAGACCACTACCTAATACTGTATATTTCCTGCGATTTTGTCTGGTAAATGTCAGTTTCGATGTTATCTTAAAAAAAACAGTGTGCTCAAAATTGAACTTTGGGAAATTTCCACAAACCATTTATATTTTTTCGCGATATTTGGGTGCTTCTGAACAAAAGTCCCGTATAAACACTTTTTTTCATCACCTTCAGGTTCCGCTGTATAGTTAAGTATACAAAAATTGATGTTTGCTGACATTTTAAACTCTATGGCCCATGGTTATGGTTATGGTTAATATTTTAGCTGAAACTTAGTCTCAATACAGAACGGCATCGCTAAAAAATAGTTCTTACTCAGAAGGAGAAAAGTAGAAGTGGCTCGTGGAAAATCTTGGCAGTGCATCGGTTTTACCTTTGTTATTAAATGATACATTTTTAAAAGTATTGTACATCACTTCACTTACTAACTACTTCACTTTACTTAACTTACGTTAATATAAAGGTTTTTAGTATTTAAGTTAAGATTTATAACAATAAAAATACGATTTCAAAATTAAAAATAAAAAACACAAAGATTTATTTTAAGTTAAGTGGGGTCTTTTTATTACAAAAATTTAAGAAACAATTTTTTTTGTTTGACCTTATATTGTTAATTAAAAAAGAAAACTTTTAAAGGTCGCTTCGTTTGTAAGTTATTTATTAATGTCACAAAAAGTGGTCAAATTGCCCACAGTGCGTCGCTCTCTCATTTTCTGGCTGGTGACTCTGCCACTGTTAACTTAACATTTCTGTTGAATGGAGAGCAGAGCAGAGGCAGAGAGAGCGAGTTTGAGAGAGCGAAGGTTTGCAGTGCCATTCAAACCACCTCCTATAGTAAAAATATTTTCTTCTCGGAACAATTTGAAATTCGACGGGTTCGGGTTCGGTAGTGGTTGTTCGCGACGCGGATGAATTTTGTTTAAATGTGAATTCTACGTAATTCGAAAATCTCTTTCAAATCGGTCGTATGCCGGATGGTAAAACTGTTTTCGAAACAAAAGGGACATTTTAAAAATATTTGTAGTCGACCAAAGTGAATGTTATAAAAACAAAAAACATTTATAAAAACGTTCTAAGTGGAATTGATTTGAAAAACATTCAGTGATTGCCAAAAAGTGGTATGCTGTTAAGGCTTAAAATTAATTGTCAGTGAATAATTAAAACAAGAAAACGTTTGAAAAACTTTTTAAAAAGGAACTACAGAATATTCAACACAACGGAATAAATATAATAATATATATATAATACATTAAATATTAAATATTAAAAAAATTTCAAAAGGTGTCAAAAAGTGAGAAACAAAAGGATTTCAAAACATCTTGCATATTGGTTTTGAGTGAGGACAAAAAGAAACAGAAGTGAGTGTTTTAAAAACAGATAGTCAAAAGTGACAAGTTTTGGATTGTTAAAGCCATGTTGTCCCGAAGTGTGCGACCAAACTAAAGCAAGGATAAAACCGACTCAAACAGGACCTCCGTATCAGCAAACTCAATTCGAATCGCGGAATTCTTTTGCGTATTTAAATCACCAGAAATGGAGGACGAACTGCGCTGTCCCACGTGCAAGCAGCTGTACGCCAATCCGGTGCTGCTGCCCTGTTTCCACGCCCTCTGCTTGGGCTGTGCCCTGGACATCCAGACACCCTACAGCCCGGGATCCGCTCTTCCGGGGGCGGTCAACGGATCGGGGGGATCCTCTGCAGGGGGACACAATGGGATGCACGGCAATGGCGGAGGTGCCGGCGGAGGAGGAGGAGGAACTGCCTCCGGCACAAATCCCAATGGGCCCGGCACCCGGCACAGCTCCCACAGCTCAGCCGCCAGCACGGCCAGCTCGAACACCGGAAGTGAGAGCGTCACCTCCGACCAGGACCAGTCGGACAAGGTGAGCATCTTCAGCGAAGCGGACTCCGGCGTGGTCTGCTGCTCGAACACATCGCGGCCGGTGTCCTACGCCGGCACAGGACTCCTGCCTGGAGTGGGCAACGTGGTGGCTCCGCCCGGAGCCGCCTACTGCCTCACCTGTCCGCTCTGCCGCAAGCTCGTCTTCTTCGACGACGGGGGCGTTAGGAACCTGCCCACCTACCGCGCCATGGAGGCCATCGTGGACCGCTTTTGCGCCCGCGAGGCGCTCCGCTGCCAGATGTGCGAGACGGACCCCAAGGTTGCGTCCTTGGTGTGCGAGCAGTGCGAGATCCGCTACTGCGACGCCTGCCGGGAGCTGACCCATCCCGCCCGCGGGCCGCTGGCCAAGCACACACTGGTCAAGCCGCGCGGCGCCGCCCAGCAGCGGGAGTCCGTCTGCGGGGAGCACGAGGAGACCCTCTCCCAGTACTGCCTCAGCTGCAAGGCCCCCGCCTGCGGACTCTGCATCGGGGAGCTGCGCCACCAGGCCCACGACGTCCAGTCCATCAACGTCACCTGCAAAGCCCAAAAGGTGAGTGCTTTATGATTATTATGATATGATGTTTAATCCTGGAATGGTAGAGGCACCTTTTTTGGTACATGTTCAGGACATTACTTTATAGGTCGTATACAAATTGAATATCCATTAAATTCATCAAAATTATAAAGAAATTAAAGAATTTTTATTAAAATATGGGTTTAGGAATGTTCTTTTACACTTTAGGAATATAGGTATCGGATAGTAGTATCGGATTTTTTTATTACAGGTTATAACAAAATTTTTAAATAACTCATTTATAAGACAGTAGTTCTTATACGAGTTTAAGAGAATATATATTGATATGTTGTTCAAGATAGTACTTTCTTATGAGTATAAAAGTATTCTTGTTTATATAAACAATATCTACTTTACCAAATGGTTGGTTCACATTTGTCAAACAACAAACTTCTTGTGATATGAAGTCTATAATTCAGACTAATAACTATAAACGCAAATAACATGACAGTGGTGTCCGGAAATTCACTGCCAGTCATCAAAAGACTCTTCTCGAAAGGAAGAAAAATACGGTACTAAGACAAACTAATTAAGGGCGAAAGTAAGGACCTCGGCAAATAAATATGTATTTACTTGCGAAGGCACCGCATATCCTGACCACATCCTGACTCGCTTCCTCCTTTCAACTTGCTTATATTTCGAGTTCTCCCTTGGTATTTCGTCTGCCTTTTTGTGGAAAATTTATGGCTTGTCTGCTGGCCCCTAACATTTTTCATGCTACATTGTTTTAGTGCAAGTATTTGGGGATATTGGAACAGAGGGTTCGGTAGAGTTTTGAGACCCATAAAGTAAAGGTAAAATATTAAATAAAGATAATAGTATATAATTTCAAGATATACTACAAGTTATGATCCATTTACATTTTATAAAGAGTCTTAAGGGGTATCCTCGCGAAGACTCATTGCCTTTTAGTTATGCAAACTATTTCATTCAACAAAATTCCTTTACAATCGGGGAGAACCTCACCTTCGTCAGCTTTTTGTTTTGACGGGACTTCCCAAGTGCCACAATCTCCCAACTTTGGCACGCTAATTCAGCGATAAGTTTTCCATCCCTTACCTTTAGGAATTTAATTTCACAGAATTTTACTTCCATTTCTCGTAGCCCTCTCACCTGTCGTTCGGTAGTTGAATTCATGAATTTCCCGGCTGGCAAATGTTTCAAGTGCCTGCACATCCTGTCATCCAAGGACAACAAACCGACAGGATCCGAAAAAGGACGAGCTGTGGCCAGGACAGACGAAAGTGCGAAAAGTGACAAATTGCGAGGCTGCCAAAACAAAGGACGACAACGGAGAAAGGAATCAACTGTCGAGTCAGGTCAAGAAGGATATTGCCCGAAAGGAAATAAGGCAGAAGGAATAGAAAGCATTTCTGTTTTATAGAAATAAATGCGCAAGAATATTTCACAGTTTTATTGGAGAGACGGAGAAAGTGCCTAAATGTCAGGAGGACAAATTTATTATTATAAGCCAACTAAAATGTCACGTTTTTTGGAACTGATTAGACAGTATAAACATAATTCTGTGTTCTTTAAAAAATTATACCAATATCAATTTAGCGCTGTATATAACGCAATTCTTTAAAAGTTGTAAGGCAACAGCATTAAAGAATATCAACTCCAATATTCGTATAGACACATTTCGTCTATTTTCCCCAGTTTTCATAATTGAAGAGCAAGCTGTTCGATAACAGTATCTAGAACGTATTTCGCCCTATTTGTATATCTTTTTGGGTTGCATGTTTCCCCATCAAATTACGCATTCCAGAGCCTTATCAGTTTTATCATTGCCGCAAATGAGCCTCATTTGTGACCCCGAATTTTGGCAGCCTCTCCATATGCCCGTATTTTTCCTCACCTGGAGCACGTTTGGATCGACCTTTGGGAGTAGATGTTCCTAGATTTCAGATTTGCCATTTCCTGTCGGCTTATCTGGTCGCATATCTCCACTCTGACGCATCTTTCCGTCGTCCGGGGGCCTGCAACTGATTTTCAATTTCCATTGTTCGGCGTCTTCGCCTGCAGGCGCAAAGTCAAAATTTCTGGCGAACAATACCGAATGGCAAAATGAATCCCTGTCCTCGGGCAGCTGATTTGGGGCAGCTGCTAACCGCATAATGGCACAAGCCAGGTGAGGTTCTACCTCCAAATTCCCGCTCAGCTCAGCTCGGCCCCGCATGAATGACACATGCACGCAATCCGGAGTGACGCCTCCACCTTTCCCCAAAAGAGTTGATAAGATAACCGAGTGGTAGTCATGCAGCGAGTCATATGGTCACTTGGCAAAATATTAGATCGGTTTTAACACTATTTTTACGGATCAAAATTGGATATCTGTAACTACTCTGTTAGTACAAAGACATCATAAATACATGACTAACTTTTTAAATCTAAATCAATTTTAAGTCCTCAAAAGATTTATCTAAGGATCTTAACTTTTGTTGCCGTGTTGAAGATTTATTTGCAGAGAGGTTTCCGTGTATTGTGCCATTTTTCTCACCCAATTGTGGGCGACCTTTCTCTACCTGTAATTTCGGAACCAGGTAATATGGACTGTTCTTGGGTCGCGTACTTTCCCAACTTGTTGTAGGGCCTCCGTAAATCATTAATTTCTGTGTTTATTATGCAGTTGCTTATTTTGTACCATATCCTGTCGGTTTATCCTTGGCCTGCTTTCTACACCTCGACATTCCTAATTCTTGTTTATACCTTTTTTTCCTTTTCGCTCTTGTTCTAGCTCCTTTGAGATTTATGACACCATCAAAGTGCAGTTGTCCGTTGGCTGTGAAAAACATTTTGAAATATTTTGCAACATGTTTCGTGTTGTACCCACCACCATCAACACCACTCACCACCCGATCCACCCCTCATCCCTCGTTTTCAGGTCCTGTCAGATGATTGCACTGCATTTGTTCCGTTTAATATGGCACCATTCCATTGTTTTTTCCTCCACCAACCCTGGGGCAACGTTCTTTGGATAGATGTATGTCGAATCCATCGGAAACAGCATAGAGTTCAGGTTATAGTTCTCGGCAGATCTTTCGGGACTCAACAATGACGGCTTTAAATAGGTTATCCTATACGTTATTAGGGCGGTGAAACAATGGTAATGGCTCTTGTACGAAAAAGGAAAGTTTAAAAATATTGGATTGTGGTGCCACAAAAATCCCTATATATTATTTTGGAAAAATAACATAAATAATATAGTGGTTCTGACTACTCTTAAATTTAAAGAAAACAACCTAAACCAAATTGCTTTTCTTCCTATAAAATCCAACGATGTTTTTTCCACTCCACCGATTTTACTTCTGTTGATTTCGGTTTTTTTCTTTTTAGCATACACACAAATTCCCTTTAGCAAGAAGAACCTGGCGGGAATACTTCCTTGAGAACCCCACTCTCACGTCAGGCAGTTCAGTTAATTACAGTCCAATTACAGGAATTTTATGTGTAGATACATTTGGATTTCTGACGTTGGCAGCAGGCTTGCCTGTCTCTCTCTCAATATAATTAAGCGGAAAAATGAATTACATAATTAATAAACAACATTCAACGCCGGGCTAATTAACAGACCAGCGAGTGAGTTGGGGGATTCCAAGGAAATTAAAGCTGGCTTGAAAGGAAGCTCAGTCACATGAGAATAGCACATCCCTAAAAACGCCAGGATAATGCGTGTTGGGCAAAAGCCAGCACAGAAACATGTTGTGGAAAGCCAAGTTAATTGCTGAAAGGAAAGGGGAGGGAAAAGGGCGCCCAACATAAAAAATAAATAGAAGAAAATTCGTGGCAATAAAATAAAATGAAAACAAAGCCGGCTGGTGATGAAAATTCCTCTCTACCAAAAATAAGCAGGAGATGTACTTTCCCTAATTCATATAAAATTGCCGTTTGCCCCTTTTTGCGCAACTCTGAAATTATTTTGTCACGAGTAAATTTCAACAGTGCTTGTTCACTAAATAATAACAAACCTTGCAAAAGGGACTCCACCCTGCAAATGGGTTGTAATTTTTACCTGTCTCTCCACCCACCCTTTAGGCCGTTGTTTTTCCAAAGTTGGTCAAAAAAGAAGGAAAACAGAAAGGAATTCGTTTTCCCCAGCGCATAATTTTCGGGCATTTTTCAACGTTTGCCTGGGTGTGTCCCATTCCCCAAAGGGGGTAACTGGAGTAAAAATAGGGAGTTTTACTAAAAAAAGGGGGTGAGTGGGTCGCAGTAGCTAAGCTAAGTGGCAGTAAATGTTTACCAGACTTGCAGACATATGCGTTATGGAGTCACGTGTCCTGCTCCATCTACACGGGTTTAATGACCAAAAGTCCTTACCAGTTTGGCGGGGGATATGTGCCATAGATATTCCCCGGGGTATTACATTTGGACAACTTGTCCTCGGACCGCCATCATGGCTTTAATTGGCACCCATTCGTCGTTTACTTTGCGATGAACAGATAAAGCTTGGGGTAATTGATATTTTCAGATCTTGATAAGCCTTTGCAATAGGGTTGTTATTCCGGTATACCTTTTTTTGTTGGTGGGAAATCGTTTTTAATGGAGATCCAAAGTCAAGTTTAATGTGCAGCTACACTCAAAAAAAAAATCACCATAAATATTAGAAAATCGCCCGTGATTTCAAAACGCCATTGAATTAAGAAATATTTTCTTGATTATAGAAAAAATGCCTACAATTTAAGGAATTCGCCATAATTTTTTTTTTTTTTTGTAATGAAGAAGAGGAAGAATCCCACTTTTTCTTCAATTAATGGCGAATTTTTCTTGATTTTTTTTCTTGAAATAATGGTAAATTCTTACTTAAATTTAGGAAAGAAATACCCATATTTTAAGAGAAAGTGACTTTTTTTTATACATTTTGATGGTGGTCTAGCTGGTAAAGACGTCCGGTCAATAAACAATCGAACAAAAGTACCTGGTTCGAGCCCCCGCCACGGCAAGTGTACCCATTGTTTATTTATTTTTCTTTTTTT